CTGAATAAGAATGTTCACTTCGTCTTGTAACAACTGATTCTTTTGAGAATCCTTTATTACTGACAGATTGATGGGAACAGGAGAAAGAGGAGGCTGTTCCATAAACTGAAGCTCCAATCCCCTCCGTAAAATCAAAGGAACCCACTTGTCTGAAGTTATCAGAGACCATTGATCTAGAAAGTAGGACAAAGGAAAAAGGCTTGTTAATCTGAGTAGTCTTGACAAATCTTTTCCCATCAGTGACCTTAACATTCACCTTGACAACAGGAGGAGCCTTATTCACCTCCTCCTGTAGCTGATCCAAGGAAACAGAGAACAACTTGTACTTAGACAGAGGAGAACTAAGAAGTCTCTGCTGGAGAGCTTCAGAGACAGTCGATTTTTCAAGAATCTCCTTCTCTTAGCAAGAGTAAAGTTGGCCAGAGTGCCAAGAAGAAGGAATTGAGACATTCCAAGACTCTTGTCTACCTGTAGAAGCATATACTTCAAGTCTGAAAATTCCTACCCTTTGTCCTTTAAAAGAGACCCAGCTGCCGACAAAAAGTGTTCAGCTGTCTCAAGAACAAAAGTAAGACACCTCAGATTATTCTCCGACTTTACATATGAAGCATGAGAAAGTCTGAGACCCTCCACAGGTTTCGAACCAAGTAAACCAGAAAAAGCTTTATCACAGATAGGAGCTGACATACCCAAGGAAGATCCATGAATTTCAGAGTCCTTAGATCTGCATTTCCCTGGGTAAGAGGCAGGTCCGAAACCAGAGAACTTACTACCACCAGTTTTGCTAGTGTTATCATGGTTCTCAGCCAAAGACGAGTTAACAAAAGACAAAGCTGTTGTGAAATGACCCGACTCTGGAAAAGAATGATACCCCTTCAAATCTGGCTTGACTAAACCAGAGCAAGCCGTAACATCTGAAGGGGCAGACGACACCCTTGGTGGAGAAGACATGGGCATATCTGACAATTCCCTGCGAATAGAATAAACTAGACTCCTAAGACATTCAGAGGGGTTGCCTGAAGAAGGCTCCTTAGTAATCATAGAATCTACCGCTGTGCTACCAACACTGTCAATATCAGAAGAAGCACCTTGGTCTTCAAGAAAGTTACCTTCTTGGCTTCTAGTAGCCAAAAAAACAGAATCATCACCAGATGTCTAGGAGGTCTGGGAGGGTCTTGTGGAGGATCCTGAGACAAACCCCTAGACTCCATAAGAGTAATCTTGTTACCAAACTCAATGCATTTAGCGTTAACAGTAGCTTGTATCTTATGGATAGAAGTGGTAAGAGTCCTCATCTCATCCTTAAAAGAGGATGATTCTGAAGACGGTCTTCCACCGAACCCCTGACCAGACCAAACTGACTGAGCAGAATACGGATCAAAGGGCTGAGGATAAGGAGGCAAGTTGGGCATACCCATAGGCATGGGTGGGTAGGCAAAATTCATAGGCCACCTAGTCCTGGAAAAGGGGTCACTCCCGATGCCAGCTGGTAGCGTCTCCTGCATACTTGTCGTGCAAGAAACAGGAGACATAGGTATCTCAACAGGCCTAGTTACGGTATGTGATAACATGCTAGGCCTAGATAACCTCAACTGACTAGCACCGAAGTGAAAGGCAAAGTCCTAACAGGGCCTGGGACCTGTTCCAGACTAACACCAGAAACACCAGTGATAAACTCCATTCTCCTATCCCAAAACTCATCTGAATGAGTGGCCGAACGCCAAGGGGACAACAAACCACTGGAAGTTGTGTGTGTGTCACTTACCTATTGGCCTTGCGTTGCCGAAGTTTTTTAAAGTTGCCAATGGTGTTTTATCCATTATTCAGATAAGATAAATAAATTATCCGAATAAAACAAATAATTAATACAAACTACTATTGAAATAATATAAATATAAATTTTCTATACAGAAAAATAACGTGGTTAAGCAAACAACTTTTTCCTTCTCAAAAAATGTGCAGCATGAACCATGGAACCGGAAAAAAATTATGAAGGTTTATGGCGCGCATGCGTCAGGTGGAGGAGGTTGTCACAAGGGTATGGTTCTTTTTTCTGCCTGGTTTCCGGTTGAATAATGCAGCGAGTGGACTGATATCTAAATTTATGAAGGTGAGGTATTAAATGTAATAAATACAAGGGCCTGATTTGTGTACAGAACAAAAACAAATCAAATATAGATGGTAATCAACGATAACCACTGAAATAAAGTCTCCTGTAAAATGACGTCCAAAATATTTGGAAATGCATTTAGCCCACCTGGCCTAAAGATCCAGGCTAGGGTAACCTTTTCATCCCTTCTATATTTTGAATTTTTAGATTTTATCTGTAATCCCAGTTACACGTTAGCTAAATATTCACGTGAAATTATATTCACAGTTCCTAAAATTGCAACCCTAGTTCAAAGAAAACAATCTTAAGGGTTGTCTGCTAGCATAGAAATCGGGTCTTCCATGGAAAAATCAGAAATAAAACCCATGCTGCAAAGGACATAGCACACAGGCACGTCCGTTCGGAATAGAGACGTTAAATCCATTGTGCAAATTATAGATCCTTTGCAACAGCAGTTGAATGACCCATAAAGGGGGGTGGGGGCAGTCGAATGTCAAAAGGTCTGTCCCTATCAGTAAAAATCTCATTTCTAATTGCAGTCAAAATACACATCTATCATACTAGTCTACTAACTTTGCAGAAGAACATATCTTTATGGTTTATTATGGGAAATAGTTATCAAAGGTACCAGGATTATAATTTAATACGCCAGACGCGCGTTTCGTCTACATAAGACTCATCAGTGACGCTCAGATCAAAATAGTTATAAAGCCAAACAAGTACAAAGTTGAAGAGCATTGAGGACCCAAAATTCCAAAAAGTTATGCCAAATACGACTAAGGTAATCTATTCCTGGGATAAGAAAATCCTTAGTTTTCGAAAAATTCAAAGTTTTGTAACAGGAAATTTATAAAAATGACCATATAATTGATATTTATGTCAACACCGAAGTGCTGACTACTGGGCTGGTGATACCCTCGGGGACGAAACGTCTACCAGCAGCGGCATCGACCCAGTGGTGTAAATAGTTATAAAAGGTACCAGGATAATAATTTAATACGCCAGACGCGCGTTTCGTCTACATAAGACTCATCAGTGACGCTCAGATCAGGAAACATTATCTTTAAGAACATGTAGTATTTTTTCCTCTAGTCCTCTTTCTCATACAACCATGTCCTCGGCATAACTCTTTTAGACTGCCAATGGCTTAAGGTTTGGCATGAAGGTGTATTTGCATAAGTCGTTGTGCCGCATTACATCATGACCTTCATTTTACCCTCTACTTTTGACCCCAATTTCAAAACACTTAATTTTGTTAGACTTTATCTTGTCTTGAACATACATTTTAACAACTGTCAGGACAAGACTTGTTAGTGCATAACAGGTGTTGTCTGTGGTGGGGTTCATGCCCACACACTCTCAAAAGAGAGGCGAAAGATACCAAAGGGACATTCAAAAGTCGAAAAAAAAAACTGACAACGACATGGCTAAAAAAGGAAAAGACCAACAGACAAACAATAGTACACAAAACTCAACATAGAAAACTCAAGACTGAGCAACACGAACCCCACCAAAAACTTGGGGTGATCTCAGGTGCTCTGGAAAGGTAAGCAGATCCTGCTCCACATGTAGAATCCGTTGTATAACCTAAAATATATTGAAAGCAAATATGATTCCTACCCATCAACCACATATAGATTCTTATTTGTAATGCTAATACCTTTTCAGTCTTAGAAAGTGTGTTTGTCTTTTCTTTACTGGGATGACTTCTAAAAATGAAGAGGGAACATTTGTTTTGGTCTATTAAAACAGTTCCACCTGTTAAATTGTTCTCATCCTGAATATGCTTTGAATGTTTCCCATTAGACTTAAAGCAAACAATCATTCAACCAAAGAAAAAGCTTGTCACGGGTAAATCTTTACGACTAAATTATTTATTAGTACAATTCAGAATTGTTACCCAATTCAAGCAAATCCAGTACAACTGAACTAATTTCCAGTACAATTGAAGAATGGCTACCTGAATTCAAGGACACTCAGTCATAGGCAGTCCAGAGCGACTGAACTATTCCACACCTTATATCGACATGTGTAAACAGAAGCCAACTAAGGATGCCAATCAATAAAAAGGATCTATACCTGTATGCAATACAATATTGAACCTGCGTACCGAGTCCAATCCAGGAGTGATTCTATCATTTTTTTAAAATTTTGAATTATGGAAAATGACTTCATTCATGACATATCAAAATCGCTCTGTTTTGAAATAATGACTTATAGAAATTATGGCATTACACTTACGAAAGAAAGAGAGATAGGGAAACAGATTCATCAATGAAAAAAATTAGAATGGTCCATATCTTGGTTAATAAAAGATTCAACACATTGACCAGATAGATCATATGCAATAAAACTCATCCTAATTTCACTACTCACTATATTTTTTAAAACAAAATCTAGTGCAAAGGATAAATTCTTATCCGGTGTAAAAGAAAGGATGATAGATTTTAAAACACCAGGTAATACAAACAATATCATATTGACCAATCTGTATCACCAGTATTCCTGTATAAATCATTGTAAGGGAAAGTGGTCCAGAACCGTGTCAGAATATACCCCATATCTGAGTCACAAATAATCGTTTCTTTTATCGCACCTACAATGCCGTCCTCTTTAACATGTCTTGTGAAAACACCAAATACGATTTTTCCTGGCATCTGTTTGAATCAAATTTAATGGAATTCGTGTTGCCCAATCTTTAGTTTTCTCTGCAATGTTTTGTGGACTGTTCATCGTATTTTTTTTATCATGCTGTCATCATTATCATTTATTACTCAACTTTTTGTTGGTCGTAGATATTTTGTTGTTTCAATGGACGAAATATATGTATAGTGTACATGTATATACTGGAAAGGAAGGAACAATTCAACAACAAAAAAGAGAAACAGATTGCTTTTGTTACGATCATACAAGTATGATGTATCTATATTTATTTATTTATCTTTTAGTTATTTCTTTTCATTTGCAATTTGATACAAATGAGGTATGTCTTCTTGCTTTGGTTGGATTAACTTATCCTACAAAAAATGGGGGAAAAACACAATTATAATTAAATGTCTTAATTGTACTATTATTAAATAAAATGGAATTGAGGAGATATTGAAGAACGTAAATGTTACACAATTTCACAGATGACGATGGATATGTTCCAATTGTCGAAACCACAATCCTGTCCTCTTTTCCTCTAATGTGAAATCAATTTAACTATGTTTGTTCCTCAACGAGGAACACGACGGGTGCCACATGTGGAGAAGGATCGGCTCACCCTTCCGGACCACCCGAGATCACCCCCGGTTTTTGATGGAGTTCGTGTTGATACATCTTTAGTTTTCTGTGTTGTGTTTTGTATTCTGTTCTTTGTCTTTTGATCGATTTTCGTTATTAGCCTTGGCGTTGTCAGATTGAAACCGACTTATGAGCTTAAAATTCCCTTTGGTATCTGCGCCTACAATTGGGTAAAATGGACCTGATCACTTGGTATTCACAATTAAGAGTATGGCTTGTATGCATGGTTTGTAACCCGCATTTGTTTTTTCTCAATCGATTTATGAATTTCGAATAGCGGTATACTACTGTTGCCTTTATTTATCCTAATCGGTCGCTTTTTGCAGCCGATATTTTTCATTACTGGACACTTTAAGTACTCTTTATTATACCAGAGGCCAAATAATATATTTTCCTTAGCCCTTAAGGAACTAAGAAGTCTTTTCTACACTTTGACAATGCACGAAATTTTAGGTGAAGAATTATTAGGCAAGGGAGATCAGTAAATAATGGAACCTAGATATGTTTTGGAATACAATATATTGACCTAATAATTTTTCTGAGTTCTAAGGTTTTGTTCTAAAAATCAACTTTCTAACGTATGTATCTCGATACATGCTATTATCGTCGCCTATGGGGAAAACGATTATATTTTGCAATCTTTATGAACTATACAGCAATTCATATTCCATTGTGGAAAACTTTGTATTTTCTTTGACAACTATTCGATTAATATGTTTCGGTTAGCAAATTTCATTTATTGATATTTTTGTTATTAGTATTTAAGTTTGAATGGTAAATTCAGTGTTCTGTTTTTGTTTGAAAGTAATTAAACTTTGATACCTTTTTTGAGGTATTTCCTTTTTGTTTGCAATGCTTTTGCTGCTTTGCACTTTCTGGGATCGCCATTTCTGTGACAAAATAAAAGAATAATTACGGCTTGTTATCATGTCAAATTTAAACTTAAAAAGATAATTGTATGTGATGTACGAATATTAACACTAAATACTAATTTTATTTCAGGCCAGTTTATAAACAGTCATATTATACTGTTTCATCCGACCTTTACAAATAGTAGACTTATTCTCCCTTGCAACATACATGCCTCTAAAACTAACAGATAAAACGACAGGATACCAGTCTATACAACCAGGCTTGCCCAAACTGTTCATTAGGAAAATAACACTAAAAGATTTGAAATAAGATGTGGATGTAGATTAAACAAATTAATAAATACCAGAAAATGATAAAATTGATATTTTATGTGAGCAGATAATGAAGAATAATCATCTTAACTATTAATTACTTTCTAAACCAGCTGGCAAACTAATTAAAATCTTGTTGAAAACTACGTACGTTTGTCTGGACGAAACAAAATGCCAGCCCTTTAGATTACACTAGCCAGCTGTTTCCACTGATTGTTGAGTTTAGTACTAATGTTAGAGATAGTTAAGGCAAATATCGCAGCGTCCAAACCACGTGATTAATATTAATACTTTATTCTAAAATATTCTTGAGTTACACAATATATAAATATAAAGGTGTACATGAAATAAAATATAATACATAATACAAAATACGAAATACGAGCAGAGAATGATATACTTTAATAAAGACAATATGTGAGAACAAATAAACTATAATGTAATTAAATTCTAAGTTTTTCTGCTAATTTTAAAAATATACCTAAATTATTTAATTCTTTAATATTTCTGACAGATAACAACCTGATACGTGTGTATGCAGATGGATTTCTCCAATAATACTTTTTTATAAACCTTTCGCGGATTTGTCTATATTTTTGACATTCAAGTATAAAATGATATTTTTAAATGTTAGAATGTTAGACGTTTTAATTCTTTATGAGACGAATCAGGTTGACTCCAGAGATAGACATCATTAAACGGCTAATCAACTTCGGAATGATAATGCACTTAAACAAGTACTATCTTTAAAAAAGATATCCGACGACTTCAGACAGGATCAAATTTATAAAAACAAAAATTCTTAATATGTCTTTTTGATCATATTTAAATACCCTAAATTCGACGTCAAAATAAAAGTCTGACAATTTTGAAAATTGAGCACTCGCATGTATCTCGGTCGTATATTGGTCGGGTTGTTGTCTCTTTGACACGTTCCCCGTTTCCATTATCAATTCTATTCCTATATATCGTAAATATAAATTTTAAAGGTATATGGAGTTTTTTTCTCAAGTACAACTGCCTGCAGTAAAATTGAAATAAAATATATACAAAAGTTAAGATAAAATATATACAATGTAACACAAAACAACTTAAAAAACGGTTTAAGAATAGGGAAGAAATGTCAATGATAACTATAAGAATGAGAGACGCAAACCCTTTCGGCGCGTATAACAGACGGATGCCGAAGGGATATGATCTTTTACACATCTTTTGACTGGTAATTAATTGTGTTATATATATTTTGACAATCTTCATTTCAAGTATTATATTTTGTATCATTAAATATTCATATATCGATTCACATTTCGTTGTGGAAAACTATGTATTTTTTTTACAGCTATTAGATAAATATGTTTAGATTAGCACATTTTTATTTTTTGATATTTTTGTTATTAATATTTTAGTTTGAATGGTAAATATTCAAATTTTAAAGTAAATTTGGATTTTATTAGATAAATGCTTACCATCATAAATTCTGAGTGTAACCCCAATTGCGTCATAGGTCAGATGGAAAATCCCGACTAAAAATAAACGTACTCTCACTGGTCCGGACATATACCCCTGTTTGCCCATATTCTCCCATTCAATTTCCTCAAGACAGAAACGTAAGGAAAGGGGATGAAGGGGAGGTGGGTGGGACCTATAATTTATGATGGTAAGTATTTATCTAATAAAATCCAAATTTACTTTAAAATTTGAATATTTTATAGCTATAAATACGTTACCATTATAAATTCTGAGTAACAGAATCTAACGTAAAGCTGAATCCCCTGTAACAGAAGAAACAGGAGGAAAGTTCAATCTTTGCGCTGAAACTATAGGTCCAAGAGAGTATAAACTCTCGGCAAAAGTAGCCATAGATTGAAGGTAATGAGATATAAAAGAGTTCTCATTTCTCCAGAAACCTGCAGGCAGTACCTCTTCTAAAGATGCACTGTTAAACAGAGCCCAGGATGTAGAGATACCCCTAACATCATGAGCTTTAACATTAAAACTATTTAAAAGTTCTGCCTTAGAAGAACCATAAGCTAAAGATATGCATTTGCATATCCAAGTAGAAATAGTTTTAACAGAAAGATCTGAGATTCCTTTTTTAATAGGAATAAAGAGTCTTGAGTTAGAAACAGAACGTAAACTACTCGTTCTATCCAGATAAATAGAAAGGATTCTTACTGGACATAAAAGTACAGAAATAGAATCGCTAGGGAGTGCAGGAATCACGACTGGTTCTGCACCCTTATCTGGAATCTGATTCTTTGCCAAAAAAGCAGGATCAGTTAAAAGAGTAACAGAAGATTTATCCCTGTTAAATCGAAGGCAAGCATCAGAAATAGAGAAGGCATGGATTTCACTCCTTCTCCGTCCAGAAGCCAAAGCTAAAAGAAAACAGCATTTATAGGAAAGAAACCTTAAATCTATTGTTTCTGCTGGTTCAAAAGGAGGAAGTTTTAAAAAGGACAAAACTAGTCCAAGATCCCACTTAGGAACTAAAGTTTTTTGTCTTGGTCTTTCAAGACTAAAACTACGAACCAAAAGAGAAATATGCTCATTGTTTCCAAAATCTGGGCCACCAGAAATATGAATAGTTCTTGAAATAGCTGATCTATATCCCTTAATAGTAGAGGGACATAATCCTTTGGATTCAAAAAGAAAAACTAGAAAGTCTGCTAATTGTTGTACAGTGACTTGGAAAGGATCAATTTCCCGCTCACTACAACAATCTGAGAAGATTGACCATTTTGCATCATAGACAATGCTAGTGGAGTCTCTGACAGACTTTGTGAGATGCTTGGTTGCTCCTTCAGAAAAACCTCTCTTTCTGAGGCTAACCCTGAGAGAAGCCAGGCGTGTAGATGAAATTTTTCTGGATTTTGATAAAGAACCTTGCCCTTGATTTGAGACAGAAGGTCTGGTCTCAGAGGTAGAACTAGAGGACAAGCACATGAAAGGCGCAGAAGGTCTGGAAACCAAGACTGTTTCGGCCATGCTGGATCAATAACTATGATCTTGCAATTTTCCCCCTGCTATTTTCTGAAGTACCGGGGAGAGAAACCTGAAAGGAGGGAAGGCGTACCCGAACATTCCTTTCCAAGATAGGCTCATTGCGTCTACCGCAAAAGATTTTGGATCTGGAACCGGAGACACAAATGTTAGAAGTTTGTGATTGAGACTGGTCGCAAACAGATCTGTCTGAGGTGACCCCCAATGAAGAGTCACAGCTTTGAAAACTACTTGAAGTAGTTCCCACTCCGTGTTTACTGGAGCAAGGGATCTGGATAGAGTGTCGGCTAGAATATTGAGGTGCCCCGCAATATGTCTCACCACTAGATGAACCTGGAGTTGAAAACACAGAAGGAGAATGTCTCTGGCTATCTAATAAAGAGAAGGTGAATGAGTTCCTCCCTGATTCTTGAGATAAGCTACAACTGTTGTGTTGTCCGTGGCCAGAATGACAGACTGATTCTTTAGAGACATTTGGAAATGATTCAGTGCAAACAGAACTGCTTTCATTTCCAATACATTGATATGCTCTTCCAAAAGATCTGGATTGCAGACTCCCGATATTGTAAGCCCCTCCAGATATGCTCCCCAACCGAGGGTGGAGGCATCTGTGAATAAGGTTAGACTGGGAACTTGAGGGGACAGACATAGGCCCCTCATTACATTTTCCCGTACTAACCACCATTGAAGATGTGGAAATAAAGGCTGAGCGATTGGAATCAATGCTTCCAATTCTTGTGAAGCTGAAATCCATTACTTGTGCAGATAAAACTGAAGCGGACGAATGTGAAGTCGTCCCAATGGAATTACATCTGCCAGAGAGTTCAATAGACCCAGAAGTTGCAAGAATTGACGTGCTGTGACTGATTGAACCGTCAGGAATAAATGTATTTTCTGACATAGTTTTGTAAATTTTTCCTCTGGTGGGAGGACTAGGCCTACACTGGTTAGGAAATGTTCTCCAAGGAAAACAAAGTCTTGTGAAGGAATTATCTCTGACTTTTTCCAAGAGATTAGGAAGCCTAGGGACAGAAAACAATTGATGACCAAATCTGTCTGAACCCTCAATTTGATTGGGCAAAATTCCTTGAGAAGGGAATCGTCCAGGTAGGAATGAATCTGAATAGACAGGGAATGTAGGTGAGCTATAGCTGCCTGCATGATTTTGGTAAAAGCCAAAGGAGCTGTAGACATGCCAAAAGGGAGAGCCTTGAACTGGAAAACTTTGTTGTTCCAAACGAAGCGAAGGTATTTCCTGTAAGTATGGAAAATGGGAATGTGGAAATAAGCATCTGAAAGATCCAGAGAAGTAGTCCACATTCCTGGAAGGATTGAAGCCCTGATTGATCTGTTGGTTTCCATTTTGAAATGGGGAACAATAAGAAAGTTGTTCAGAATAGATAGGTCTATGACCGGCCTCATTCCTCCAGTCTTCTTTGGAACCAGAACAAGACGGGAATAAAATCTCGGAGACAGAGTTAAGAGCGACACCTCCTCTATTGCAGATTTTTGTAACATTGCGTCCACTTCTACTGATAGAAGTTGATACTTGACTGGGTCTTGAGTATGAGACAAACTTATCGGAACTGCAGACAGAGGAGGTGGGTTCTTGAACTGAAGTGTTAATCCCCCTCGAATTATTGACAGCACATAACAGTCTGAGGTAATTTTCTTCCACTGATTTAGGAAAAAACTTAACCTCCCCCCTACTGGTATTGATTTTTGAGGAACTTGTAAATTTTTCCCTGGGGAAGCTGTCAATAACGTACGAGGGGGCAAGAACCTAGGTACTAGACCCAGGTTTCTTGGGACCCTTAAAACCACTAGAAGGCTTACCTGAGCTTTTTCCGGAGTTATGGGGTTTGTTCTGCGGTTTGCCGTAGTTATTCTTCCTTTTCTTAGCAGAAGAAGGAGGACCACCCGAAGCAGAAGTACTAGTAGAACTAGATGTAGCATTAACCGACCTCTTGCCATTAGTAACTTGTACACTAACTTTGACTGGAGGAGGGTTTTTGCTGAGTTCCTCTTGAACCCGCTGTAAGGGTAAACCAAACATCTTGTCAGTAAGTGGAGATTTCAATAAAGAATCTTTCAAAGGCTCAGCAACAGAAATGTTTTCAAGAAACTCTGCTCTTTTAGATAGGGTGCAATTAGCAATAGAACCCATTAAAAGCAACTGAGATGAACCTAGAGCTTTATCCAGTTGAAGTAAGAAGGATCGTACTTCTGCTGGAACAACCGAATCTTCGCTGTTAAGCAAATGTCCGGTTGCAGCTAGAAAATGTTCGGCTGTGCCAAGAACTTGAGAAGCACTTCGAAGGAGATTCTCAGTCTTTGACCAAACAGGTTGAGTGAGACGAAGACCATCTACTGGCTTTTTTCCCAATAAAGATGACATAGATTTGTCACAACTGGGAACAAGTCTACCCAGTGAAGAATCAAAGATATCAAAATCCTTGTACTTAACCTGATCAGAAAAGGATGACATTCCAAATCCAGAGATATTGTTATTAGCAACCTTTTCACTAGCAGAATTAGCGATACCTTCATTAATAAATTGTAAAGCAAATGCCATATGGCCAGATTCAGGAAAAGAATTGTGAGAAGTCACAGTATCCTGAGAAATACCACAGGAAGCTTCAAAAGTTGAAGAAGGTTTCTTCGGCTTGGAAGGAGAGGCAAAAGGGATATGTGCTTCATCCCTCATCAAGGTATACACCTTATCCCTAAAATCCTTCAAGGATGGAGGATCCTCAGTCTCCTTGGTGGGAGGTTGTTGAGCTGACTTACAAGAAGGCTCAGGAGCCGTCTTCGATACTTTGGGAGAAGAAGAACTTTCAACATCCTCATCAGTGAGGAAAGCCCTTTCATGACTCCAGGAAAAACAGAAAGCTCGTCATCCTCCCTCTCATCATATTCTACAGACTTAGCTGGAGAAGGTTGCTGAGAAGAAACTCTATTCTCCAGTAGAGACATACGACTGGATAGAGTACTAAATTCAGCCTTGAAAGACTCACCAAAGTCCAAAAGTAACTTCTGAAAACCATCCAAAGATGATGCACGATCAGAACCCTGAGTACCATGAGAAGAGCTAGAAGATTGAGCTCGAGAGTCAGATACGGTGGTAGAAGGAGCTACTGCAGGAGTCAAAGATACTGCTACGGGTGGAGCAGGAGCTAAAGGTGGTGCAGTAGCTACCCCAGAAGGGGGACCATAGAAATTGTCCCTATAAGGCCAAAAACCAGGTTGGTTTGGCATAAACCCACCATAAGGGTGATACTGTGGCCAAGGTGGCTGAGACCATGAGGGTAAAGGTTGTGTGCCCGAGTTGGGAAGCATATACCCACAATAGGATAATGGGGGTCTAGAACCTGGCAAGTTCAAGCCCATAGCTGTACCTGGGACAGAACTAATAGTACCCGATGAATTAACAGGCCTAGATAAAGTATGAGTCACCGAAGTTGACGTAGGTACCCCCCCCCCCCCCCCCCCAAATGCATGGCCGAACCTTGTGAAAGGGTCGGATAGGTAGCATTACCAGACACCGTTGTCGAAACTCCGGTCAATGTACTGGTAGTTTGGGGGGGGGGGGGGGGACTTAAAGGTAGTGACCCATCTAGGAGATAGTCCGAACCAGGAATATTTACGTACGAACTATTCAAATTAAAGTCCATAATAAAATTTACTTTAGTAAAAAAAACACAAATAATTTGTTTAGAAATTCAAACTAAACAAGGGAATAAATTTCCAATAATATACACAATATATGAAAAGCAATTAAGCTGTTCAAAAAACTTTACAAACAACTAAACACTTCTCTGTTGAATCTGTAATAATTTGCACGTGTGACCGATGTCGCAGATGGAAATTGAATGGGAGAATATGGGCAAACAGGGGTATATGTCCGGACCAGTGAGAGTACGTTTATTTTTAGTCGGGATTTTCCATCTGACCTATGACGCAATTGGGGTTACACTCAGAATTTATGATGGTAACGTATTTATAGCTATAAAATTCAGTGTTCTGTTCTTGTTTGAAAGTAATTAAACTTGGTTACTGTTTCCATTCTCAATTCTTTACCTATATACCGTTAATAAAAACATATTCAGGTACAAGTGCTGACAGTGAAACTAAGATACAATAAAATATATACAATGTAACTCAAAATAACTTTATAAAAAATGATTTAAGAACAGGGAAGAAATGTCAATGATAACTTTAAGAATTAGAGACGCAAACACTTTCGGTGCGTATAACGGACGAATGCCGAAGGGATATGATCTTTAACACATCTTTTGACAGGTAATAATTTGCCGTAAATTAGTGTATCTTTTTGTAGAGTGCGCATATCTTTTTGTGTGGTCTGTATGTTAAAGGTTTCTAAATACCTGCGAAACATACAGAATAGGAGGTAAATATTTTCTATTGTAGTCAAAACCTATTTATTAAGAATGCATTAATTGTACCTTTGTTATAATATAGTTTTATCTCAGATATCTATACTGCCTTACATCACAAAATATTATACAAACGTAAGTCCGAACATCAGCATTTTCGTCCAATCCGAGAACAGATCAGCGACAACACCAACAATGTTACCATAGTTTAGCATCATTAAGGTCAAAGGGGAACAATTCGAAAAAGCATTAACAAGAATTACGAACTCCAACATAAATTCAAAAGGGGGAAGTCCATAAAAACTGACAAAATCAAACGTTTGACTTTTTCAACCAATAGAACGAGTGGAAAACAACTATCATATTCATGATTTGGTACATGAGTTTTAAACCTGGTTTTAAAGCTAGCTAAACCCCCACTTGTATGACAGTTGTTTATAGTTTCATAATGACAACATTGGGTGAGCAACCCAAACAGATATACAGTTTATCGAAGCTATACATTCGAAACTGTACCGACTGCGTCGGAAAATCAATCATTAATTTTGTTAATTCAAATCCTATTTCTGATACATTAACGTATACCTCGCGTCTACCTGTAATCCTATAAAAAAAAACTTGCCTCACAGGATCAACAATTCTATAGAGCTTTCCAGAGTTCGTTCCACCTCGTGCCACCATGTATACTTCTCCTGAAAACATTAGAATTTGACCTACAGTCATAGTATTTTCACAACATATTATAACAATGAGAAATGTGGTAGTTCATTCATATAGAATCCGGAATGTTTTACTCTTCTACATAAGAGCCTAATTCTGTAGCCGGAAGAAAAAGTTAGAAATATCAAAATTTCTGTTGAATGCGTGAATACATCTATATCTTTAGACATAAAATTCTTCTTTCGGATTATTTACGTTACGAAAAAAGAACATAAAAGACTGAGTCAATTTTAGAATATGGCATATACTGATTGGAAGGGTATAAGGTAAGATTTAGAGTATGGCATATACTGATTGGAAGTGTATAAGGTAAGATTTAGAATATGGCATATAATGATTGGAAGTGTATGAGGTAAGATTTAGAATATGGCATATACTGATTTGAAGGGTATAAGGCAACATTTAGAATATGGCATATAATGATTGGAAGTGTATGAGGTAAGATTTAGAATATGGCATATACTGATTGGAAGTGTATAAGGTAAGATTTAGAGTATGGCATATAATGATTGGAAGTGTATGAGGTAAGATTTAGAATATGGCATATAATGATTGGAAGTGTATGAGGTAGGATTTAGAATATGGCATATAATAATTGGAAGTGTATGAGGTAAGATTTAGAGTATGGCATATAATGATTGGAAGTGTATGAGGTAAGATTTAGAATATGGCATATAATGATTGGAAGTGTATGAGGTAAGATTTAGAATATGGCATATACTGGTTGGAAGTGTATAAGGTAAGATTTAGAATATGGCATATACTGGTTGGAAGTGTATAAGGTAAGATTTAGAATATGGCATATACTGGTTGGAAGTGTATAAGGTAAGATTTGAAAATGCAACTATTTTGGTTGCTTGAATTCGAAAAAAACAAATACCAAAAATTTATTGAAACTCTCCTTCAGGAGCCATTCATCTATTATAATTATCAATATTTATGTGTTTGGATTTTGTCGTACATTTTCTTCTTAAGGTCTTCAAACTATTTACTGCAAAACTGCAAACACTGCCGAAACAGTGTCATTTTGAGGGTTTGTTATATATACAGATACGGGCAACAGATTTTTCACCAAAAAACTATATTGCTTTATGAAGTCGAATATTGAATTATATTTTTGGGTTCAGGAAAGGATCTTACATCATTTTATCATGTTAAAATCTATGAAGTGTATGAGGTAAGATTTAGAATATGGCATATGATAATTGGAAGTGTATGAGGTAAGATTTAGAATATGGCATATAATGTCATCATCGGTCCATGTGTAAAATGGCTTGTTTAGGTCATATATGTTAATTCGACAAGCTTATGGCATAAAAGGGACAAAACAACTTAAATTTCTTCAAAGATGAATTATTTCATTTTATTCAATAATAAATAAAAATAACATAACTTTGAGAGAATTGAAGAATTTTTCTATTTTTTTTTTTTAATTTCAGCGGCAAATGAATGGCCCTTATTATAATATGCTCCTTTGACGGACTAAAAGATTGTGACATTAAGAGTTGAATATCTAATATATACCTGATTCGTCTAGTCCAAAAGATGTTATATAACTTTCATATGTGTTAGTAAGAGGCGGAGAACACAGTGTTGAATCACAAAGTCGTAGTTCTCGTCCATTCCATTTCTTTTTCCTTGGTTTCTCAAACAGACGGAACAATTTTCTATAAAATCAATCTAACCTTTTTAATTCATCATATACCTACATCTGTGACATAATTTACTTCAAATACCTTTTGTATCTGTTTGTTGTGAACCAATTAAAGAATGAATATAAATAGATTACAGTTAGATTATCTTGCTAAACGTACTTGCGTTATGCATTTTTGCAAAATACGTAGGAATTCAGGTAAATACATTTCGGAATTTTGGGCCAACTTCGTCTTTGGCTCTTTTAAATATTTTTGATTCCGGCGTCATTTTTGAGTCTTTTGTCGACGAAACGCGCATCTGGAGTACACAATTTTAAACCTGGTATCTATGATGAGTTTATTAACAGTCAGTAATAAGACTTACTTTTTTTAGCAGAAAAAACAAACGTCTTTAGTCTAACTTTCCAAATTTACCGACTTCATACAAACTTACGTGAATTCTTCACCCATACCATATGACCGAATGTGAAAGTTCCGATTTACGCTTAGATTTTAGGAAAGATGATAGACAAGACTATAACCGTTTGAACAACACAGACTTCGAAAAAAAATAAATATCTTTTAATATACAACAACAAAAACAAAAGCAAGAGCAACACGAGACCCAGTTACAAATTAGGAGTGAACGCAGGTGATCAAGAAAGGGTAATTTTCTTCTCCAGTAGTGCCGTCCTCGTGATGTTCATTTCAAATGAAAGTTTCGTATTGATTGATTGATTGATTGATTGTTGGTGTTCAATGCCATTTTCATCACCATAAGTTTTATTATTGTATCTTTGCATTGGTGGAGGAATCCTGGTGAGAAATTCGAAGAAATTATTTCAATTTTTCTATTAATAAACCTTATCTTAATAGCTTCTTTGAAAGCAGGAATCGCCTTTTCAAGGAAATCACAAGGAAATGTAAGCCCTTGAAAATTGTACACATAGATATAGGAAGATGTGGTATGAGTGCCAATGAGACAACTCTCCATCCAAGTTACAATTTATAAAAGTAAACCATTATAGGTAAAGGTACGGCCTTCAACACGGAGCATTGGCTCACACCGAACAGCAAGCTATAAAGGGCCCCAAAACATTACTAGTGTAAAACCATTCAAACGGAAAAACCAACAGTCTAATCTATATAAAAACGAGAAACGAGAAACACGTATGAACTACATAAACAGACGACAACTACTGTAATCAGATTCCACACTCCATGTATGTGCTGCTGGAATGTTAATACAAGAAAATGAAAATTTTACAATGGGAATATGAAAGTTAGATATTTCGTCATTATGCTTAGTTCTCAATAGATCCTCATTTTCCTTTTCTACTTGTAAGTCATGCAATTACTCAGACTTAAATGTATCTTGAATTGTTTCTCATCTTGTCTTGTCGTTTATAGCTTACTATACGTTAGGAGATTTTCTCATTGTTGACAGCCGTACGGTGACAAGTTGTTGTCCAAATCTATGTCCTTTTGTTTATGGATAATTTTCTCATTGGCAATCATATCACATCTTTTCATTTTTATATCAAAGTGTTTTTTTTATACAAAATAATCAACCATGTCTCTAAATCTATATGTTAAGGATAATGCTTGCGTCTTTTCATGCTTCTTTAGGAGCCCCTGTATGCAACCTGCCTCGTACGAATGAAGCCACATATGTTCTTATTATAACAGTGAACTATTAATTTCAAGCAAGTTTTCATTTAAAACATTACCAACGAAGATATTTCTTTCTTAGAAAAACAAACAAATAGAAAATTGATCCGAATACAATGTTTTAGTAATTTTGTATTAAGTTAATTGAAAAATATGGAATTGTACTGTAAAGTTGGTGAACAAGCGAAAAAAGGTTAGCATAACCATAAAAATGTATACACGATTGTGAAATTAATTTCATGTAAAAGCTAAATGTAATCATTTTGATATATTAGGTAATCTAGAGACCTCAGTCATTTTCTGATGTTCAAATCTCGTAAATCCATTCAGAATGTACAAATAAAGGTGCAGGTAGGATTCAGCACCATATGGTAGAATACAAACCATATGTCTATGATAAGTTATCATTTTTTGTAGAATATGTCTGTTTTTACCATTCGTTTGATATGTTTGAGCTTTTGATTTTGCAATTTGATAAGGGACTTTCCGTTTTGAATTTTTTCTTGGAATTCGGTATTTTTGTTATTTTATTTTTTATAACACATTTTGAAATATAAACGGCATACAAGAGTTCTACGAACTCAATGGGATCAGGTGCTTGGCAGAGTAACGGATTATATGTATCATCGCATTATAAAATAAGATAATATGATTTTGTACGCCAGACGAGCGTTTTGTCTATACTCATCAGTGACGCTCGAATCATGCATATGTTACCTATGCTTTCTGCTGCTTCATCTTGTCATGATACATGTCCATGTAGTTTGCTTCAATTCCATACAGGTTAATATAAGTTTTATATGGCCAGTTATCATACTACTCCGGAAAATAACTTTCGATAATGATATAATGGTGATTTTATATGATCTTCGAAGTGCGTCAACAGTGCCTTAATTTCGCATGAAATAAACCTATCAAGGTTTTTGTCAGCCCCTGGAACTTGCCAATCGATACCCATGCACGGTAAAATGTATCAATGACAAGTAATAAATTTACCGTTGATAATATATAATGTATAATTTCAGTTTAAAGGTATTAAGGAGGGAGCTGCCACGACGAATATTGCTAAGTACGACAACTTTTATCAAAACAGTCCACATAAAAATGATAATTTATCATTTAGAAATTTCATTCAGCCCCTAGTGTATTTCTGTTATTTTATACAACCAATTTATTTCTTCGTGTTAAATGCTTGAAATATAACATTACAATGTAAAACAATGGATTTTGAGTTTTAAAGCAAATCAAAGTGAAAAGATAACAAAGGGAGTAATACATAACCATAAGAAGAACAAACAGACAACACCATGAATGACAAAAATGAAAAACGACGAAGACAATCAACGGTACACACAACAATACAAAGAAAACTAAAGATTGAGCAAAGCACTCCATGGATGAGTTACGGAAGGGTAACGTGAGGGTATCCAAATCGCACCTATTTTGACAAGTTTTTAATTATGATCCAGATAAAAGTTTCCATTTTGTGTTTATTTTGTAGATGTATCCTTATTTACTATATAGTTCCATCTATTTAATTCCTAATCTATATTGAATTATAGAAAAATGGGTTTGAACCTCGCTCCAAACGATCCATGATTCTGTAATGAGGAGTACCCAAATTGCATCCATGCTTACATTTACATCCATAAAAATTGAATTACTGATGTTTTGTTTTATTTCTCAAAAATATTTACAACAATTTGACAAAAGTCCATGCTTACTATTAATTTCTTAAAGAAATGGATGCCTATAACAAATTTTTACTGTTCATTTTTAAAAGTTGACTTTTTGTTTCCGCACATTTTACTTTTTCCAGTGAATATTTCATCTGTTGATATATAATGTGAACGTTTTGTGTATTTCAAATTTATCTTACCATTTATACATTTCTAGGAATATCATTGGTTAAAAGCAAACACGTGGAGATCCTGTATATTTAATATGGGGTTAGTGTGCGTGTTTTACTTTAATATACGATTAGTAACAGTGTTACATCCCTTTATAAAAACGATATGACGTTAAAGAAAATTCTGAAACGACAAATAAAGAAATTGATGATGAACGACTTAAAATAAATGCAGAAAACACATTAAAGCTACCAACTTGTTATTGTTGGAATTTGTTTTTGTATGGACCGATTGAAGTAGGTTCTTAATATTGAAGACATCATCATTTTGATATGCCACTAGTCTAAATGCCACATGATATTCGGTAAGTAAAATTCGCTACACAGTGTGCTAGTGAACTAAAATAATATATATGGGGCCAGTAAATTCTATATTTTATGAATTGTATAATTCCAACAAATTTTGTATTTCTTTAATTTAAAAACAATCAAAGTGAAAACAAAATATTAATTTCCTAATTATTTATTATACATACTTTTTTTTGTACTTGTACAATAAATAAAATTAGATGTAATGAATAAAAGAAATATTTAAATATACTAATTGAATATATTAAGCGGACTCACCCATTCATAAAGTCTCCGAATATGTAAAACCGACGTAGTCTAGGGTTTAGACATCCGCTGTAAAACTGACCGCCGATAACTGAACTTCCGATGTCGTGTGAGTAGGCAAATACAGGTTTAACTTCCGGTCCTAAATGAGTAAGATATTCTGTTTAATCATATTCAATGGTTAAGAATGAATTAATTAATGAAAATGTGTCTTTTACAAAATCGTAGCAGAAAAACTTAAAGAGATATGACCAAGTTCCTCTATATTTGTTTCTACTACAGAACCATTGTGTTAGAGAAACTTGATGGAATTTGCCTGCTACGTGAGTAGTATAACTATATTTTAAAGATTTTTTCCAACAATATTACATATAGCCATGAAAGTTAAAGCTCTATAAAGTGTTGTGAAGACAATGTTGACAAAATTTTGCACAGGTTTCAAGTGTTGTGTAAAATTTTGTAAAAACGGCAATACAAATTAAGATAAGAGGAAATGGAGTATTTTAAGACATTCTTAATGAGGTTATCAATATCACCGTATCTATACTATTTGTGTAGGCTATCGGTTCCGAAGGTATTATCATACCAGCAGCCATTTATTCAATGCTGGCCTAATTTGTAAAAAAAGGTAATATACCGATTTTCAGTTTATATCTAATAAAATTATGGTGCTATAATAATTGACGCTACACATTTTACTGTGCCAAATGTGCACTACGACAATAAGTGTCTCATTAATGATTGTCGAGACCAACATTTTTGAAAAGATGTAACCTTTGACAAACCTTAACGAACTGATGAATCAGAAAAGGAGAAAAAGTATAGTTAAACCTGGAAAAAGGATCACAGTTTTGCACGAAGGAAATACGTTTCAACAAAACAGTATCCTCATTTCATGTTAGGTACTGTGATCAGACTCGGTGCGTTGAAAGGTTAAATTCGAGGCAACAGTATTTTTCCGCTGTTCAAATGACATAAATCTGATAAGAAGATATAAATCAAGGTGAAAGATAAAAACTGATGGAACCGAATGAACTCCAAAACGAGTGAGAGTGGGTACATTGACAATGTCAGCGTTTTTGCTAAGTATGCATCACTCGTCATTTGTATCCATATTTAGTAAAAATGTCACAATAGGATATATCACAATCGCTATAACTGACATTCAAATTTATTGATGATGTCCTAGCATTTACTCAATAACCCAGATTTTTGTGAGTTTCAGTCGAAATTAACACATAATGACGATTTCAAACTAAACTCTTTAACAAACGGGATGATTTTAACTTTCCATTTGTCAACTGTCCATACAGTAGTAACATACCTGCACTTTATAAAATCATTAACAGGGGCGTGCTAATTACACAAAAAATGCTTAAACATAGTTGTGAGGAAGAACGACTGAAATCGGCACCTACATAAGTGTCACGGTCACAATCACGAATCGATGTGTCTGTCTCAACTCACATCCGACATGTTTCCGGCGTCTCAGATCTTTAGATACCCGAATTGTCCTCTAATCTGTAAATTTACCAATTGTTCATATTTCCGATAAGGGCATTCCTTCCTAAATGTGGATTCGCATGGTGGATGATGCATGCATTGCAAGAGATTCTTATCCGGTCGAATCATCTAGTCTCGCTCTTTTTGGAGTTCATTCGATTCTCTCAGTGTTTGCTTTCTACCTTGATTTGTGTTTTCTACATAAGGATATGCATGTACGAAGTCAGGAATATAACCGTTGTTTTCCATTCGTTTGACGTGTTTGAGCTTTTGATTTTGTCATTTGATAAAGGACTTTCTGTTTTGAATTTTCCTTGGAGTTTGTTATTTTTGATTTTTTTTACTTTTTTCTTACAAGAGAGGCGAAAGATACTAAAGGGACATTCAAACTCATAAGTCAAAAACTGACAACGCCATGGCTAAGAAAGAGAAAGACCAACAGACAAACAACAGTACACAAAACACAACATAGAAAACTAAAGACTGAGCAAAACAAACGTCACCAAAAACTGGGAGTGATCTCAGGTGCTCCGGAATGTTAAGCCACATGTGGTACCCGTCGTTTTGCTCAAACTGGGTAATAATTCTAATTTGGTAGGTGACATTCGTGGAAAAGGGGACGGGATTTATTGATTTTTAATTGATTTTTGACATTTGAACATCTACTGTTGCCTTGAATAAAAAACAAGGAATATTTATCTACGATTCATATTTTTTGTAGAAAAATCTCTGTTTGATAAGACGATGTAATCGATCTTTCAATTGAGCATGTGGAGCAGTATGTGTAAAACATAGAACAGTGACAATTTTAAACCTCTGTTCATCCACTTTTTTTCTGAACAATTCATGGATTCTTCTCTCTATGGCATTTTCGTGGCCTTTTTGTTGTACATGTACAACTAGACATAGAAAAAAAATCTATTTACAATATGAATTTAGATTGTAAAAAAGTTGAACAACTGACCAGTTTTTCCGCACGTCTTATTCTTAAAACATTCAAATCCTTCTCGATCATTCCATCCATAGTTAGCTCCCTTTTGAAGTAAATCAATTTCTTCGAATCTATTTTGTCCAACATCACCACACATTATTCTTCCATTCTTTTTACCTTTATCAAAGAAAAAGTTTGATATTTGTAAACGTTAATAATTTTTTTATGTTAATTTTTATATATGCATCGTTCATTACTACATGGCATTTGTATAAGATTTTGAATATTCAAATATTTTGGCCTCGAGCATCACTGAAGAGACATTAATTGTCGAAATGCGCATCTGGTGTATTACAATTGGTGCCGTTTATGTTATTGTAAAACTAAAATGGTATCAACAAGACTAAAGATTAACACTTTTCCATAGCTTACTGTAATAAACTATTTAGTTTATTGGAAAGGGGTTATTTTTTTCCGTCGTCAATTTTTCTGAACTTTACTGGTTGATGTAGAATTACATTGAAAATATAGTTAAGGTAATACATTGCACTTCAGAGTTCAAAAAGTGTCAAACCATCATATTTAAGCGTCACCATTATGGTTTGGAATACCATCGAGGTTCAGAGTCCTACATATATGTTTTGTCTTTTACATTCAAATTGTTTGTTTTCAAATCAAGGATGTTCTTAAATGGAAAGTTTGCAATTTAAGACCATCTTACACATTGTGTAAACAATGCATGGCTTCATAACAATTTGATTTCAAAGATATTTGTATATAAGGGAAGATACACATGTAACGTTAAACAGTTTAAACATGACTTTTTCAAACAGTTGATTTGAAAATTAAATATCTTTATTTTAGGGCTGGTGATGAAAACAAGAAAATTTCAACGTTTTTCCAAAACTAATATATAGAATACTGAATTTCTTTTTATTTTGATAATTAAGCATGCGCATATAACCCCGTTTTCGATTTTATAATTAACTTTTTTTCACCTCTAAATTAAGAAAAAATGAAACATTAGCTTCACCTGATTCCTTTCCGCATCTCCAGATATTTCTGACACCGTAAGCATATATTTCTGGTCTGAAGGTCCGTCGCTTCCTTATAAAAGGGTTATCTGGCGGTATGACATAACCCCTTCTGCTGCCAATTTTATTTATGTCTATTCTCAAAACCTTTCCCAGTAAGGATAGCCTGTAATGTATTTAAAATCTATTTAAGGTTATGAGCATGACACTTCACAATAAAAGAAAAAAAAATGAAAAGAAAGAAACAGCAGTGGGCCTTTAAAAATTACTTTTTACTGATTATAACTTATTCATTTAGTTTGACATGGAAGTCAAATTACATGCATCTAACACATGGAGTATTGAAACCATATGTAAAAATTAACAGATTATATTTAACAAAATATTGTAGTAAAACAATGAACTGTTAAAACTAGGTTGAAGTCAAATAACCCCTTTCGTGCAGTCACTTATAACGTACTGTTTGTAATCCTATAGACCATATATATTTGACCTATTACGTATAAACACAAATAATATTAAATCCATGCTTTTCTACAGTTTCCCGTAAATTCATTGTGCACCCTATTGTATACTGAACAATGTATGAGAGTTTCATGTAAATGATATATTGATTGCTGCAGAAAACTTTTTGTTAGAAGATGGGTAAAGACGAATTGAAGAGCAAGATAATTAACAACTCCATCACTATACACCCGCTTACGTCAATGTGGTTAGGAACAAGGAGGCTATTTAATGTATTACATGAACTTTGTATGTTTTATAGATATAAGAAGATGTGGTATGAGTGCCAATGAGACAACTCTCCATCCAAGTCAAAATTTATAAAAGTAAACCATTATAGGTCAAAGTACGGTCTTCAACACGGAGCCTTGGCTCACACCGAACAGCAAGTTCATTTGTGTAAATGCATTTTATAAAATGTGTATGTTTTTTTAATCAAATCGTATGACAAATTCACAATACCGTGTTTATGAATAAAAATGATGTTATACTTGATAATTTACATGTCATGTTAACAATAAATTAACCAAAACATTATATTGAATTTAAACAAACGGAAATGATGTTTACAATTGCAAAACTATTGTACAATCTCACGTACGTATTTTGAGCAAATCCTCTTGGGTCTCCTCCAGAACCTCCATCACCAAGAAATATATAAAGATAACTGTCGTCTCCAAATATTATCTGAATAGTACATAATTGTTTAAAAAGATTGACATTATCTTGTGAATAAAAGACAACTGAAAGAGTTAACTTATCATTTCGACATTTTTTTTTTACGTTCACCAGGAACGCTCAAAGCACTGACTATTGAACTGATAATACCCCCTTGGAGTAACAGTAAAAGTGTATTTAATGCCATTCTACATATATTTGATTGAAATCTATATTTTCATTTACATTAAAATCCTGTAATCTACACACATATATATCATTAAAACGGAACTGGTCGTAGCAATAACATGTCGTTTGTTAACAAAAAACTTGGACAGTGTTATGGGTTTGTTTTAAAAATGCAGTACAATATCATACACTTAATCACTTTTAAATATTGTCTGACTGATTGTGGTTTACCATCTACGTCGTCTGTTCTTCTAAGTACCGAACGTGACCTTTTTCCGATTATGACTGTTTTGCTGAGTGTAAATTCGCTTTGCTATTAGACGTGTCTCGGTATTTGTACATCCAACATTCATGTACTTAGTTATGATGTTTCATTTGTAATTCTGGTTGGATGTTGTTTTATGTCTAAACGTTTGTGGTTTTAATTCTATTTTTATGCTCCACCTTGGGGTATTATGTTTTTTGTCTGTGCGTCCGTTCGTTCGTCTGTTGGTTCGTACGTTTATTCGTCCGTCCGTCTGTCCCGCTTCAGGTTAAAGTTTTTGGTTAAGGTAGTTTTTGATGAAGTTGAAGTCCAATCGACTTAAAACTTAGAAAACATGTTCCCTATGTTATGATCTTTCTAATTTTAATGCCAAATTAGAGTTCTTACCCCAATCTCACGGTGCACTGAACTTAGAAAATGATAGTGCGAGTGGGGCATCCGTGTACTATGGAAAAATTCTTGTTGTTTTCTATATGTATGTAAAAGTAAAGATATTAATCACCTAGTTCATTTATAAGATTTTTAGTTAAAAGCAACTACATGCACATAATTTATTTGTTTTTAAACAGTTTGATTTAGAAGAAAACTGACATGGTTATAAAATAAAATAATTACACCATTACTAACAGAATTCTATATTAATATTCTTGTAATGGTTAGAAAAAATACACCAAATCACACCATTACAAACTTAATCCGAATTTTATATTTTATTTTGAGAAATTTTCCTGTGACGTCACTTTTTGTGGCGGTGGTACATTCGTGTGACGCACAGTTCATTATTCTATTGTGCTGTATTTGTGTTCTGTCGTAAATTAATTTTAGGTGTTTGTTGTTATTGTGTGGTTTACATGTTGAAATGTACTATCATATTATTTATTTATGTATTTCTCTGTTCTGAATGTTCTTGCATTTATTTGTACTGTATTCCTGTCACGTAATGTGTTATTTTAGCGGTATTTTTAAAATTGCCATATAAGCGGGAGGTTTGGCTAGCCATGAAACCAGGTTCAACCCACCATTTTTTCATAAACTGTCCTGTACCAAGTCCGGAATATGACAGTTGTTATCACATAGTACGTTCCTATGTGTGTTGGCGGTTTTTTTGTAGCAGTTCAGTGTTTCTTTTGTTCCGTTTTGTTTCCTCTTATAGTTGATGTGTTTCCCTCAGTTTTGGTTTGTGATCCGGATTTATTTCAGTTAAATAGATTTATGATTTTTGAACAGCAGTATACTACTATTACCTTTATTTACTACCACACAAAGATGGTATATTAAGCATGTGTTAAAGCACATGATAAGATGCCAAATATTTTATGCTTATATTAGAAATTTGATAAGCCAATAGCAAACATATACTAATTAATACTGTAATATCATTCTAGTGAAGTTTAAGATACAAACTAACTAGCACATTTAACAGCACAAATATTTCAAAGTATATATTGGATTTTTCTTACACTTTATCTCTATTTAACAATAATTCAATTCTTTTAATGTATTTTAATCTCGATGCGAGTGTCAAAACTCCCATAAATCGCATAAGTGCATATTGATAATAGAATTTATTGATTTCCATGATTTTTTCAAGATGTTAAGAGAACATAAAAGATAGGTGTTAAGATATATTTGGAAATTTCCCATTTACAAAAGCGGAATTATGACAATATTATCCGCAGACTTTTCATTTTTCATTAGGCTAAAGTAGTTTATCGACGTTCAAATCTCATAAATTGATTAAAAAGACAAATCAGTATAACAAACAAATCCTGGGGGAATTTCTAACTTCAAACGGAGGTATACCGGATGCGTTTGAGCACTAAATAAAGGCAACAGTAGTATACTGGTGTTCAAAAGTCATAAATCGATTGAGGGAAAACAAATCCGGGTTACAAACTAAAACTGAGGGAAACACATCAACTATAAGAGGAAAACAAAGGAACAACAGGAATACTGAAGTGCAACAAAAACAAACGCCAACATACATAGAAACGAACTATTTGATAACAACTGCCATATTCCTGACTTGGTACAGGACATTTTAAGAAAAAAAATGGTGGGTTGAACCTGGTTAAATGGCTAGCCAAACCTCCCGCTTTATGACAATGTTAAAAAATATCGCTAAAATGACAACATTACGCGACAAAAATACAGCACAAACACACGCAAGAACATTCATCACAGATCAGAGAAACGCACACACAAATAATATAATAGTCGACAAAACATGCAAACCGAATAACAATAACGAACATATTCCATCAACGACAAACACCAAACACTAAACTTCACGACAAAGATACTAGTTGAATTTCCAACTGTAAACTTTCCATATATTAATGTAGCAGCATTTCAGCAAGATTTGCACTTGGAGTATGTACTTCCAAGTTGAAACGATATTTAAATTTATACTGTAATGTGTCTTTTATTGGATAATGCTATAACTTTCAGGCCTCGGGTACACGATTCATATTACGCTTACGCGCACATTTCATGCTTTTCACGAATGTGACTTACCGAATTAGACTATTTACCGGATTTGTAATAACATAAGCAACTCGACGGGTGCCACATGTGGAGCAGGATCTGCTTACCCTTCCGGAGCACCTGAGATCACCCCCAGTTTTTGGTGGGGTTCGTGTTGCTTAGTCATTAGTTTTCTATGTTGTGTCATCTGTACTATTATTTGTCTGTTTGTCTTTTTATTTTTGGCCATGACGTTGTCAGTTTGTTTTCGATCTATGAGTTTGACTGTCCCTCTGGTATCTTTCGTCCCTCTTTCATGAAAATTATTTTAAAATGTATAATTAAACAGTTATTTCCGTAGCTTCATTTATTATTAAACAGAATTGTATTTAAAGATTATCGATTAGTTGGTTGTAAATTTCTGTTTCTTGGTGCAGTAACATTAATAGCGACCATCATACCGCCAAATGGTGAATACAAATCTTTAAACACAACACTGTTATCTCCTAATTCAAGGGCTTGCATTTCTTATAATAATTTGTATGATAGAGGATTGTTAACAATAAACACAGTTTGGTTTGTCTTTAACAAGCATCTTTGTCATATTTCAACTTATCGTTGCTACAAACCCGTATTTTTCCATAAAGATATTATCAAATGCGACTTACAATAGGATTGACTTCTCATTAGCAAAACAATTAATGCCATAATTAATCGGATACGGATTATCCTTGTTTTCTGGTCGGTTACGTATTGCTCAATCTTGACTGTTTATGTAGTGTTTTCTGAATTTTGATTGTGTCTTCTCTTTTTCTTGTGTCTGGTGATTTGTGTCTTTCTTCGACTTAGTTTTCTATTGTACCTTTCGTTTCTTCCATCTATTTTTTTTTTAACAAAATAACAAGGGAACAGCAGTCATGGTCATAAAGTATTCAGTCTGTCTAGCATAAAACGGAGTCAAAAATGACGGATTGCATTACCTCTCATCAATCAAACACATACCCGAGAGTCAAAACCTCATTGAAGGACTGTATTACCTTTCTTCAATTAAACATATACCCGAGAGTCAAAACGTCATTGTAGGATTGCCTTACCTCTCCTCCATTATGATTACTGAATGGTTGTTGTATTTCCATGATTAATTTTTCTGACGACTTATCAGCAATACCTGGATTCTGTCGAGATACACTGAATTCGCATAAACGAGCTACGTGGTCATCTGATGAGTTTTTTGGTTTAGCTCTACTGGAATAGTAAACAAAAAAACGACGATTTTTCTTGAAGTTAGGATGAAAGGCCAATCCAAGTAAGCCTCTTTCACCTCCATTCAAGACTTTATCTGTTAGATTTAAGAATGGTTTTGTAGACTTAACTCCATTTTGGTTGAGTATATGTATTACACCCTTTTGCTCGCCAACAAATAGACGTTCTGTTCCATCACCGGCATTCTGAATGATGAGGGGATCATCAAGGTTAGAAGACAGTTCTTCCATGCATATGCATACCCATGTCTTTTTTAGTTGTGCGGCTAAGAGGTCCAGTTTGACAATAAATATTATCAAGAAAACAAACTTCGTGATAAACAGTTTCAACATGATCACATTTTAATTCCAATTAACTATCCAAAGAACGCATAGAATTTAAGTACAACAGCTTGAAGCAAAACTACATATCGTAAAGGATTTGCATTTCACATATGAAATATTATTAATAGTTCTTCATTCAGAACATAACATTTGCATTAAGTATTATATTGAACAAGATATTAATCCTTAAGGTTACATCAAGAAACTTAACGCTTTGAAAGGTAACAATTATTGTGTGTTTAATTCAGGGTTATATAATATGTTTTAATAATAAGCATCAAGTATATAAAATAATATTTTGTTTATTTTTAGTCTGCACGTCCTTCTGTGATTTGGTACTCTTTATTTTAGACATAATGGAGTTAATTTGTATGTGTGTGTAATGATAGTTATTTTACGTTCTTTATGTACCATTTTTTATTCAACTAATAGTGATTAAAACGGTGTAGGATAAAATCTAAAAAAATATTTCAATTCCTCCTCGCGTTCCTGTCTGCAATTGTCGTTCGTAATATGTTCATTTCGAAATAACAATTAACAGATATCTTTATCAACATAAATGAGACAGCAAACAAACAACATATTGTCCTTCAATCATGGGGTCAGATGTCAGAGCAAGATTGGACTTATGATTTGCTGTTATATATTTCAAATGTGACAATTTCGTTCCAATTGACGGTCAGTCAATTATTTCTTTGAAAGTCAGGATTCTATAGAAGATATGTCATTCAATAATGATCTCATTTGCAAGCACCACCATGTCTACAAAAACAATTTCTAGATTGGCAGGGTTTTGGACGGATACACCTTATGGATGCCCAGACACAACTGATGGTATATTTATTGTAACGAGTTCAAGGTAAAGTGATATCCTAAATTAGATTGATATAATATTGTTAATTATGTGTTTGAGCTTTTGATTTTGCCATTTGATTAGAGTTCGGTATTTTTGTTATTTTACTTTTTTTTTCATACATGTTCAATGAAAGTCAAGGCATATATACACACACCATATACAGTTACTTATTGGTCTTCAGATGGTCTGCTATTCTCATTCTGTTCAAAAACCTTTAGGAAACCACGATATTTGTGTTAACCAGTTTTATCTACAATAGCTCATGCTCTTTTTTTTTTTTAATTCATATTGATTTTTTGGGAGTTCAAACTACAGTGAATACATACATCGTTATAAGACATGAGTGAATAAAATATATGTAATTGTTATTATGCGACTAAGTTATATTAAGGATTTACAAGCCTTCGAAGTGAATATACAGTATATGATACTATCTTAAGAATACGTTGGAGTTCATTAAACATATAATCATATGCAAAATAGATTAAATAAATTCCATAATTTCTCCCCATCTGTCGACAGATGACTTCTCTTTAGTCTTTAGATATATATAAATATTCTAAATCTTCCAAACGTCTTTTCAAAATTTAAGGAAAGCTTGCACAGATATCAACAGTCTGTCTAATAGTGTGATCTTTACATAGTTAATGTAGTATTTTGCCTGTAGAATACAATAATTTAAAACTAAGTTATCAAAATTCAAAAAAACCAAAACTTACACTGTCTTTATTCAAAAATATTCTGACTCCAAAAACATAATACCACCAATTAGAAAATTCTCTCTAAAATTGTTTTATTTCCGTGCATTAAAAAAAAATTATGCTATAAAGTATCTACAAATCTATATATTTCAAGGAAATTATTCTGTGTATTGGAAAGCTTGTAGTTTACTTTCTATAGTACAGTCAAACGCCAGTGAATAAATATTTTTCCATTTTTCATCACTAATTATCGTAAAATTGAGCTAAGCTAGAACAGAACAAAAACTAGAAACTATACTTTATGTAAAGAAATGTTTGCGTGCATTATTTTTAATTTTTTTTAAAAATCTATCCTATCGCAATTATCGCAATAATAAAAACACCGTATAAAATTCCAAATCTACAGCATCCGTATGTATCAAAGCCTTGATGAAACGCAGTCAGAAGCGTACAGAGAAAGACAAGTGTACTACGATTACACGGGTTTCTTACCCATTCAGGAAGCCAGCAATTATGGATGCAATATACTATCAACACGACATATATGTTGTTGCTTCAGCAGACAAACCAGAGTGTATCATCAACCAAATCGTCAGTGCTCTGCCACTGACATGATGTATTGATTCATGTATTATACCTTTCGAAAATAAATGAGCAGTTATTTAGAAACTAAGCACTTGTCAAGGGGGAATAATAGAACTTATTTTAAAAATTGCAAACAAATGCTCTTATATTTGAAAAGTTAAAAAACATTTGACACACAAACTTAACTGGTTATTTAATTTTACTACCTCATATTACGCGTAACTAATTAAGTGTACTAACCTAACTAAAATTGTGGATATTAGCATTTCACATTTCGAAAACAATTTCGAAATGCATAAATAATACGTCTTTTTCGAGGATAAAAAACAAGCTTCAAGTTTATTCAAATACTTACAAAGCAATTCTATACGCAAGTTCTTATGATTGAATTAATACATTCTTCAAAATTCAAGGACGTGCGCTCCACAAAGAGACAAATAGAGGACAATCATGTCACTATCATATTTCAGTATGAGGCCTCCTCAGAACATTTAAAGGACCCTACAATGTAATGTCAGTAATTAACAAACGTGCTCCCATTAAAGAGAAAAGAATAAAACATGTAAGGCAACCAGATTGGCTTACAGATGAGGTGAAAGATGCTCAGAAAATTTTTTTTTTACCAAAGCAAAGGGGACTGGGATAACTTCCGTTATTGGCGCAATAAATGTACAAAATTAATAGAAAAATCTAAACAGTTCTATTTCAAGCAGGCAATAGAAAATAACAAACAATATAAACTATTACACGAGGAACAATCCTGATTTAGATCAAACCACTCATGCCAAACAGCCATAACAAAATTGATAGATAACTGGCTTAAATATATTGATGACGACAATGTTGTAGGAACAGTTTTCCTAGATCTGAAAAAAAGGCATTTGATCTAGTTGATCATCTCATTCTCAGCCATAAATTACATTTAAACAAAGTCTCAGATCATTCAGTGAAATGGTTCAAGTCATATCTCTCAAATAGACCACAAAAAGTGTGCTCAGGTAATACAGCTTCAGATTCTGATATTATCAATTATGGAGTTCCTCAAGGATTCATTTTAGGTCCCCTACTGTTCGTTTTATTCATAAATGATAAGACTTTAGAGGTATCAGGTTCAGTCATTGACATGTATGCTGATGATACAACACTTCATACCCATGGTATAAATAAGGAAGAGATAGAGAAAACTAAACCATGATGCCAACACTATAAATAAATGGTGTTTAAACACCAAAATGGTAATACATTCTTTTAAAACAACTTCTATGCTGGTTGGAACGAATCAAAAACGAGCTTTGATAGGTCATAAACTAAATATATCAAATCAAGATAACCCAATAACATCTGTTGAAACACAAAAGCTTCTAGGTATGTATATTGACAAAAATTTAGACTGGAAATTTCAAATCGATCATGTATGTAAAAGCATAAGTTCTCGTATTGCACTGTTATCCAGAATTAAGAAATATCTAGATATAAGTAGTAGAAAATCATTTTATAATGCTTATATTCTGCCCATATTTGATTTTTGTTGCTCAATATGGTGAAATTGTTATGCAGATGTAATTCATAGAATTGTTAAGATGCAGAAAAGAACTGCCAGAATTATACTTAATGCACCAATACTTACACCTACTGTAAATTTATTGAAATAGCTGAAATGATTAAATTTCAAATCTAGGATTTCTTATCATAAACTGATTCTTGTTCATAAAATTCTCAATAATAAAGCACCTTATTACTTTAAAGAACTATGTTGTCCAATTATAAACCTACACAGAAGAAATTTAAGATCTTCTGCATATAATAATCTAGCTGTAGTGAGGCCTAATACAAATTCGACGAAAAAATCAATAACATACAGCTCCTCAATACTTTGGAATAATAAACTACCAAATGAAATAAAACTATGTGAAAGGTACTTTTAAAGGAAAATGTGTAGATTTTTTTAACTATAAACGATATGTAACAACTCCCTTACTCTATCATGTCTTTTTAATGCTTGTGTATAATGTAATTTTGTTTTTCTTTCTACAGACAAACATCTAGCATGAAACTTACAGCGGTATACTACTGTTGCCTTTATATGTTCAAAAATTGTAATATCTGTAATATTTGTTCTGTACGTTTTTTGTGAGGGCCTCAGGGTAGATTAGTGATTGCTAATTGAGTCACCCTCTTTAAATAAAGTCATTATTATTATTATTATTATTATCATTATTAATGAACTTAATATATTGTTGCGGAGATACAATTGCAAATGATTACAATTTGACTTTTTGGGCCCATTCGTTCGACGACAATGTTATACGTTTATCATTATGTCCATAATTGATCTGGCTGTATATAAAAAAGATAAACTCTGTTCTTTGTTTAATGTTCCTTGTACAACTGTTCACATTATTTAACTCACTTTCGAAATTACAGCTGGCTCAGTAACGATATAATTGAAATTAAGGAAGCGTTGACTTATACAATTAACTCTCTGAGATTGTAAATTCAACAATTTGCAGAAAATAATTTTATCAAAGATCTAAATATTTGGTGATAAAGTTTGTTAAAGTAACTTGCTATTCAAAATGATACTTAAACGATCTCTACTCTATTCTAGCAAAACAAAACTAAACTTAAATTACTATTAATTTTTCGTCATCAATGTGTAACTAGTAAATTATTCAATCAAGGATTTTGTTACCATGAATTAATTAAAATGTATACTAAATTCTTCCATATATGTTAAAGTTTGGCTGAACCTGTAGAATGTTTATTAAAGACGGGATATCACACTTATTCTTACGGTAATGATGTAATGGTAAAGCCCGTACATTTAGAATGGATCCATGTAAACTCATTGGTCCTATTCCTAAAGGATATCAATTTAAAACTGTAGTAAGATGTTTGAATACTGTTTTATCTGT